GCTGGTCCCAAACTCAGAGATTCACCTGTTTCTTCCTTTAGCATGTTAAGATTAAAGGTGTGTGCCACCATATAAGGCCTATGATGATTATTTTTGACTCTTAGCTTGATAGAACTTATTATCATCATGGAAAAATTCTCTGGTCATATCTAGAGTATTATCCAGAAGAGGGAGTCAATTTCCTGGAGCTGGAATTAAGAGGTAGTCATGAACTGCCTGATGTGGATATTGGGAACCAAACTCTGAATCTCTGCAAGAGCAGTAATCACTCTTAACTACTGAGTCATTTTTCCAATTCTACAAATAAAGTTTAATGATAATACAGCAGATTTTAGAATTGTTTTGTGATCACATACCAGAGAAAATAAGTTTAACACCTTTTATTCACTTAATTATACTAGCAAGAATTCAAACATTCAGTTTTTCATATAACAGTTTTCCACATCAGAAGGTAATCATGACTCTCAAGAAATAATTTGAAGAAGCTAGAGCAGTGACTCAGTGGATAAAGTGCTTGCTCTGCAATCATGAGGTCCTGAGTTCAGAACTGCAGCACCTATGGGAAAAGCCAGGCATGGCAGCATGCATCTTTAACCCCTGCAGTGAGGCTAGGGAGTTGGAGTTGGATCCCAGGGGCTTGCTAGTCAGCCAGTCTAGCTGAAACAGCAAGCTCCAGAGTCAGCAAAAGACTGTTTAAAATAATAATAATAATAATAATAATAATAATAATAATAATAGGGTCAGCAAAAGACTTTAAAATAATAATAATAACAACAGCAATATTAATGAGAGTATTGAAGAAGGTACCTGAAAGTCAACCTTTAGCCTCCCCATTTGTATGCACTGATGAATGTACCCACACATAGCACCATGCACACATACACAGAGAGAAATAATTTGGGTTTCTGCTTCCAAAATGCTTATCAAAGCCTGTATTTCTTAGGTTCTTGAAATGCCTAGAAAATAAATATTCTGTTGAGTGAAATATGCCAAAGGTCAGTAATAAATGAAACACATTTCTTTGGGGGCAATGGACATTAAAAACAATTCAGTCTGTATATGCAAAGTGGGCAAGGAATTTTTTTTTTCTTTAAAAATCTGTTACTTTGGGGTTGGCAAGTAGCTTAGCAGATAAGAGTACCTATCCCAAACCTGATTTCCATATGCATGCTATAGCATGTTCCCTCCTTCCTTCCCTCCCTCCCTCCCTCTCTCTATACATACATACATACAGTGTCTGTTATTCTTAAAACTGGGCCATAACTCAGTGATATAATACTTACCTAGCATGTGTGAGGCCCTGGGTTCAATCTTCAGTATTGCCCCAAACAAAAACCAAAAAAAATCTTTTACTCTTAAAATACCATGGGGGGGGGTGGGGAGGGGGTTGGAGAGATGGCTCAGTAGTTTAAAGCACTGTCTGCTCTTGGAGAGGACCTGGGTTTGATTCCCAGCACTATAGGATGGCTGAAAGCCATCTGTAACTCCTGTTCCAGGGGATCTGATGCCCTCTTCTCATCTCCTCAGGCACTGACTGACATGGGTGCATCTACCTACATGCAGGCAATAGACTCATGCACATAAAATAAAATAATAATAATAAAACATTTTTAAAAAATAAATTACAAACAGAACTTGACTTGGTAGTGCTGGTCTATAATCCCAGATGCTTAGGTGGGCTGAATTAATAACTTGTGCTTCCAAAAATATTTTTCCTGAGTAAACTTTTTATATCTTTTTAAACTACTTGATTAATAGTCAATAGAGGTGCTGGAGAGATGGCTCATCTATTAAGAACACTGACTGCCCTTTCAGAGGACCCAGGTTTGGTTCCCAGCACCTACATGGCAACTAACAACCATCTGTAACTCCAGTTCCAAGGGAATGTCCAATGCCCTCTTCTGATATCCGTGGGCATTGCACACCTGGGTGCACTGACATATAGGCAGTATATACGCATACACCTAAAATAAAAATAATTTTTAAAATATTAAAAAAAATAGTCGATAGAACTGGTCTAGGAGTATAAGTTAGTTGGTAGAGCATTTAGCTGGCATGTGCAGGCCCTGGGTTCAATCCCTGGTATTGAAGGAAAAATAAAAGTAAATAGTCAATAGAATCGAGATAATGTTTTCAAATTTTCATTTTATATAATTTTCATAAGGATCTATACTTTCCCATTTAAATTTTTATTGAGCATGTGATCCATCACTTAGATTTTTGTTTTGTTTTGCTTTGTTTTCGAGGCAGGTTTTCCTTTAGCCCCAGCTGGCCTAGGCTGGTCTTGATCTTTCAAAGATCCACACTTGCCTCTACCTTCTCTGCATTGGAATTAAGGGTGTGTGCCACTATGTCTAGTACATCATTTAGTTTTTAGCCACTAAAATGTTTTTCTTTGTAAACATTTTTAGGTAGCTGGAAAGATGGCTCAGTTGTTAAGATCACTTGTTCTTTCAGAAGACCTGAGTTTGGTTCCAAGTACCCACTTTGGGTGGCTCACAATTGTCTGTAACAGTAGCTCCAAGGCATCTGATACACTCTTCTGGCCTCCATGGGCACCTATATACACACATAAATAAAAATTAAATAAATCATTTTAAAAATTGCTTTAACCAATTTTCTCATAGCAAATTTGTGAATCTAATTTCTTCTTCTTTTTCTTGAGACAGGGTCTCACTATGTGTGCCAGACTTACTGGTCTGGAATTCACTATTTGCTAGACCAGTCTTAAATTCACAGAGATCTGTCTGCGCTGCTTCCTGAATATTGGGATTAAAGGAGTATGCCACTATGCCCTTCATCTTCTTTAAGATTTTATGGGTGAATGTTTTGCCTGTGTGTATATATGTAAGGGTACTACATGTGTGTCACATGCCCATGGAGGCCAGAAATGAGCATTGGATCCCCCTGGAACTGGAGTTACAGAAGGTTGTGGGCTGCCACATGGAGGGTGAAAACCAAACTTGGGTCCTCTACCAGAACAACAGTGCTGTTAAGTTGAACCATCTCTCTAGCCTCAGCTCTTTGATTGTCTTATTTGTATAAACCTGAGAGGGTCTTTGTCCCTACTCTTTTCTCTCCTTTAGCAATATTCTGCTGTTATTTACCCTTCAGTGCTTAGTAGCACAGTTATGGAAGTAGGGTGTATTATTGTTCTGTTACTGTGATAAAATAGCATGACCAAGGCAAATTACAGAAGTAAGAGTTATTTTGGCTCACAGTTCCAGAGGGATACATCCATCATGGCAGGAGGCACAGTAGCAAGGAGCAGGAAGCTGAGAGCTCACATCTTCAACAGCAAACAGCAAGCAGAAAGGGGAACTGGAAGTGGAGCAAGGCTATAAACTCCCAAAGGCCACCCTCAGTTGGCACACTTCCTCCAGCAAGGCCATACTTCTTAAAGTTTCCTTACTTCCCAAACAACCCCACTAACTGGGACAAAGTGTCCAAATCCTTAAACCTATGGGGGGGCATTTCTTATTCAAACCATCACATAAGGAGTGTTGGGGAGGGGGCATTCTCTGTTCTGTTTCAGATTTAGATAGGCATTATGTCCCTGTGTCTCAGGGTTGAGAATTTTCTCACTGATCCTGCTCTTCTTTGGTAGTAAGGAATCCTGTAATGGAAATATCCTATTATATCCCGCTATTCCAACCATGGGAATAAGTATTTTTTATTGTCTTCTTCCATTTGAGAGTGTGGAATAAAAATAATTCTATAAGGTGTTCTGTCATTTTTATAATTTTTAATGCCTTGATCCGCAGCCATCTCCCTTGGCTAATTTTTGTCAAGTTGTACTGTGAATGCCATAAGAGGTATTGGGGTTTGCTTGTTTGTTTCCAGACAGGACTGAACTGAGTTCCAGATTGAACTCAAAATTGCTAACCCTCTACATTTGTAGACTGACTATGGTTGCACATGCCTGTAATCCCAGCATTTGAAATGCAAAGTAGGAGAATCATGGCCATCCTGGGCTACATAGCAAGTTCACTTCCTGCCTAGACTGTATTACAAGACTGTATCACAATTGAAAATTCCTTTGTTTTTTTGGAGGTTTTTTTTTTTTGGTCTTTTTGAGACAGGGTCTCCCTGTACCCTCAGCTGG